AATGTTTGTCTGTGTGCAGATGCAGCCTACTCGTTGTTCACTTGACCGGTGATGATGGATTCACGTGGAACCGAGTTCAGGGCCCGGTGAGAGAGAATGTGGGGCTTAGGCAGGTCTACGGCTCTTACACCCTCTCCCCCGTACTACTACTACTACCACTACCGCTACTCGTCTGCGAGTGAAGAGCGAGAGTGCATAGCATCGGTCTCTGCGAGAACCGCGCGCGGACACCGGAAAACCTGTCCGTGTGTGTCTCGAGAGAGAGTTCAAGTCGGAGACGGAACTCGGGGGTGACCGAGAGAACGCACGCAGGGTTGATCATACGGTAAGTCAGTTCATAAAAACCAGTGTCTATTTTCATAAAACCAGTTTATCAACGAGAATTTCTCTTTCGTTCTCTACCTTCTTTCTCTCTCTTTCTCTCTCTCTCTCTCTCTCTCTCTCCGCCAATCTCTTTCTCTCTCTTTGCCTGTGTCTCTTCTCTGTACTTTCTGTGAATTGTCTCCGTTCACCCCTACGCGAGAACAGGTAAATCCTTAGAAACTGTTCTGAAGGCAAACCTCAATCATTTCAAACCCATTTCATAACTTTTGTATATTCTCTACATTAAACCTAATCCATGTTTCCTTAGAAAATGCACGATGGTACTTATACTTCGACGTACGTAATAAAATATTTAGTTTACGAATACTGCATTAAATCATTTTCAACGAATGACAGGTGACCAAACTTGCAGGATTTATTTTCTGGTGAACTTAACTAACTAAATTATAAGTTTCTTTTTATAAAAGCTTGCTACTCTGCACGACTTGGGCTAAGAAACTCGCAATTATCTCTGTAACGAGAAGATAGAGCATAAGCTTAAAATCTGCTTCCCGAGAAATTTACGTTCACTTGTGCGAAATGTTACAACGCTTCTCTTCGTTTTCGTGAGAGCCTCGTTAGAGCTCTTCGATGAAAGGTGAGTCGATTTCCTCAAACCGGAGCGGTTCACCGCAACAACATGGTGTATCGTGCTTGGAGAACGTGAAAAACGGTTCGGACTGAAGTTTTTTAAGTCGATTTTAGCAGGTTAACCACACGTATTTTATATCGACGGTTTTTTTGTTTCTTTCTCACGGAGCTTCTGCAAAACGCGTTTTATCAACTAGATTCTGTAAGACATTTAAATCTGTAAAATAATCAAACATTTGCTTAAAGTTTCTCGAAGAATACGTAAAACCAGAAATAATGGATGAATATACGGTCATTAAACTTTTTGAAACGATGGACACAAAGAATTTACTTCTTTGTTTCGGAATTTCTCTACTGAAATGAGCTCGAAAAAGTACAACACGCAGCACTCGAATTCCCCGTTTTTTATTCGTTTAAAAAAAGCAACCGACGTGAACGATGTAACGCCATCAACGGATAGGGGAAAAAATTTCCGGGACCGCGCAATGTACAACGCGCGGCTGACGTAAAAACGTGACGTTTCGAGAGTTCAATCCGGATCGATAATAACCGATTTGGGGATGGATACAGTGAGAAGGGTTTGCATTACGCGCAGCAGCGGCGGCGAATAGTTCGATAAGCATCGGCCGGAACCGATCATCGGGTTTTTTACTGTCAGTCGTATTATCGGAAACACGGTGATCGATAGCGCGTCAGTTTGTTCGCAAACGAACGGCACGTTGCCACGCCTCGCCGCTCAGATTAAAAACTCGAGAATTAAGAAAGTTCGATTCGGAACCCCGTCCCGACGGTCTTTTTCAACGCACGTCCTCGGGAATTGTTGCTTTTCCTGTACCTCGTACTCCAACGATGATCGTTGAAACTACTTGCAAGAGAAAGTTTCTCGACAGATAGATTCTACTGACTGAACAAAAGTATTTTTCTCCGATAAACACGTCCCTCGTGTCAATTTGACACCTCTGTTGTAAAAAGGTTCCAAATGTTCCCAGTGAGACGTTTTAAAATTATTTACTTGCGAATTATTTATTTTCGCTTATTCTGCATCCCAATTTCAAATCCACGTTAGTTTGTTGATATAATTTGCGAATTAAAATGGAAAAATGTGAAATAACTATTAAACTTTAAGTAACTCTGTATAATAAAAAATTCAGATATTCAAGAGTGATGTCGATGTTTAAATCTTTCGCAAAAGGCAGCATGCGATGAATCATTTAGAAGCTAAATGCATATGCAAATACAAATATCAGACAGCCATCGAAAGCAGCTAAAACCATTAAACGCTTCCATGTGTGCGGGACAATAAAATATTGTTTTTAAGAGTAATATAAATCTTGCGATAAAATAAAAGCCACACATTTTATTATTTTTATTATTCTTTTTTTAGTTTCATTATATAAAGTGAATCCGTTCGCGGCACGTAATTGTAATCATTGCAGGAAGCGGTCTCGCATCTGCTATCCAGCGCAGCTGCGTTTTAAAACGTAGTTTTATCGTGTGACCTTTCATCTTTCTTCTTCCGCCATTCCATTCCGCGCTTACGAACCCTTTTTCGATTTGATTTCAATTTCGTTACGGTTATGAGTTGCGCGTTTTCATGTCGGATTCATCTAACCAATATTAATATTAAACTTTCTGTTATATATTTTTTTAATCCTTTTAAAGTGAAATAAATGGTTTTATGATGGAAGTTAATCGTTATATAAAATCAAGCATATATTAATAAGTATTTCTGCATTTTTATACAAAGTCGACATTTTATACATTATTCGGATGAGGCAAGTAAAATCATGGACATATCTTTGTGTAAGGTCTTAAATTTTTTACTTATTATGAACAACGTCAGAAAAAATTCAATCACAGATACTGGAGACATTGAAAAGATGAATGAATTTTCATTTGCATGGTTCATTCTATACATTTGTTCAAATTGATAAAATTCAATATTTGCATACGACCAAGGCGGAGATAATTTTGTTTCTCCTATCTGAACCTGTTGCTAACAGAAAATTGCGTAGAATGTCTCACTGGAAAGAGTGGAACGCGGGGGGAGGCACAGTTATTTTACAATTATTATAGTCGTCACGATTCTTGAAAGTACCCCGGAGACTAGTCACTAGATTCAGCGTTGATAAACTCGGCCGTCCACCATACAGAAGCAATTACGAATGCATTAAAACCCCAAGATGTATTGCTGTTAAAGCAGCGTGCAGCCTTAATTTTGTACGCCATAATTCGCAAGAGTGTTGTGAGCGATAATTCACGCTCGTGTCCCGTTGCATCCTCCCAGACTTTCGTAATTGCAACTTTTATCGTGCTACAATTCATACCGTATATTTCTTTGCGTTTATTTCAAGCCCCAATGTGTTCTAAAGTCGTTTGAAATTACTTTTATTCCTATCCTGTTTCGAAATATGTAATTATTCTGTGCTTGTAAAGCTGCGTCTACACTAGATATAGGAGAAAACATATTATATAGGAAAGTTACATAATTTGCTGAAATGCAGGCATTATATATAAAATTGTATGGTATGCTAACAAATATTATACTGACTGACCGACTGAATATAAAACTTCAGCTGACGTATTTTTTAATTTTTTAATCTTTGCTTTGTCGTTATACAAGATATACGCGCCTTATAAAGATATTTTCCCTCATTCGTATTATTTTCTCAGATAAAAGAATTCAGTCTTTTTCAAATTTCTGATAAAGATACAAATAGCGAACATCGTTGTGGCTAATCAGATAAATTGTCTCCTCGATCTCAATATATGTGTATATAATTTCAAGCAAGCAGTGTGTAAACAATTTATTTCGATGCGCGTGCGTTTCCGTGATCAGTCGACGGAGCAAACGAGGTACAAAAATATTTACCTACCGCGCGCAAGATAAATTGACACGACCCGCAACGGAAGGTAGATACGATCATTTTTTATATTGAATGAAATATCGTAATATCCAGTTCAAATAACAACGATGATGTGGAACATATCTGAAACGATATTGCTTACGCTGCAATCAAAGCCGTTTGAATAATGAATTCAGCCGTTAGCATAAACAGCTAACATTTGTTTAGGATGACTTCATATTATTGTTTCGTATTTGTTCTTTAAATACAGTGCAAAAATATAATTTCTATATCGCATTTGTTATAACAAATTCTCAGTCACAGCATAGATTACTAAACCGACTTATAACTATTATAAAATGACACTATTCTACTACCTTGCTTTTTAACCCANAACAAATATTATACTGACTGACCGACTGAATATAAAACTTCAGCTGACGTATTTTTTAATTTTTTAATCTTTGCTTTGTCGTTATACAAGATATACGCGCCTTATAAAGATATTTTCCCTCATTCGTATTATTTTCTCAGATAAAAGAATTCAGTCTTTTTCAAATTTCTGATAAAGATACAAATAGCGAACATCGTTGTGGCTAATCAGATAAATTGTCTCCTCGATCTCAATATATGTGTATATAATTTCAAGCAAGCAGTGTGTAAACAATTTATTTCGATGCGCGTGCGTTTCCGTGATCAGTCGACGGAGCAAACGAGGTACAAAAATATTTACCTACCGCGCGCAAGATAAATTGACACGACCCGCAACGGAAGGTAGATACGATCATTTTTTATATTGAATGAAATATCGTAATATCCAGTTCAAATAACAACGATGATGTGGAACATATCTGAAACGATATTGCTTACGCTGCAATCAAAGCCGTTTGAATAATGAATTCAGCCGTTAGCATAAACAGCTAACATTTGTTTAGGATGACTTCATATTATTGTTTCGTATTTGTTCTTTAAATACAGTGCAAAAATATAATTTCTATATCGCATTTGTTATAACAAATTCTCAGTCACAGCATAGATTACTAAACCGACTTATAACTATTATAAAATGACACTATTCTACTACCTTGCTTTTTAACCCAGTAATCTGCAGTTCACACACATTCTTTTTATAATATACCTGCAAACGACTAACATAGTTAAAATTAACTAATCGAAAATTGTCATTAGTTGGCTCGATCACTTGCGATCATGCAATCCACTTATGGGAAGCGTTCCGGGTGCATCACCATGACTGCTGGTCACTTGTGTGGTCGAGGCACATTCGTGTATCGGACCAATTTTATGGGGTGCGCGACGGCAGTCTGCGTGGCGACGCTGTAGATCGATACGAACTGGGAACGAAGCTCTACTTGCTACGTCGCGCGTCGTTGTCCGACGAAACGAGAGCCACTTCGTCGACTTGACTCCGCCTCGAAAAAATAACAAAGGGATGGTAGCATAGCGCCACGTATGCTTTTGTCGAGACTAGACGCGCCCCTGTATAAGCAACAGGGTCGTTTCGTTAAAATAGCTACAGAAAATGTTTCCATTATACCTGGGCGTGATCCATTCTTTTCAACACAGAAACGTTGTTTCCATTTTCTAATTTGTCACGAATTTCGTAGTGACGAAACATTGGCAAGTCCTCTATTTCCCAAGTTAAAGGAAATAGACAAAAGTTCTTATACGGAATTTGCACGGTTCAAGGAGGCACATCTTTTGACCATTTGGGTACCGGTAAGGGTTTACGACTCTTTGTCTTCGTTAGGATTGGTCATTATTTGGTGCCCAAATATTTTGCAGGTTGTGACCATCGGAAAATACCCGATTGGAAACAAACGTCCTTATCCTACATACGACGTCGGTTTGCTGGGATCCAAGTCAGAACGCACCCAGGTCAAAATGTAGACCCGACACATCACAGAACCTCCTTGATCATCGAGACGTCGACATCGGAACAGTTTTTTCGTTTCACGTATTTAACTTCGACAAATTCTGTTACATTTCAGTTTCAAGCGATATTAAACTCCAAGTTTTTTCAATCAAATGTATTATATTTATTGCTTCAACCAACATCAAGCATTCCGACATTTCTATTTTTTTTTGGATTACGTAGAACCGAACTAACATTTCGTTTTAATAATCCGATTATTTGACGATCATGAATTTTCAAAAATCGTTCCATCAAACATCGTAATATTTAATAACATGTAAATTATTTCATTTTTACTGTGAGTTTACCGTTTTTTAACCGTCATTCATTTTATGGAAACTACCCTGCAAAGTTTTATATAAATTGTTTTGTAATAGCTGCGGCTATTTGAAACCGGCGTAAATTGAGTTACGCAGCGCCATGTGCAGACCTTTCTGAAGCTGGTTAAAAAGCGCAATCGATTTTCCATCGCTTCCGGGCCAACGTTTCCCATTAAACCCCATTGGAGTTACGTTAGTTGTCGGGCTGGCGTATGTCAGAATTTCGTTAACCGAGCCGAGGAGAAACATCAGTTCCAATATCCGATTTTAATGATCTCCGACCGTTCTGCGTAGGGCAATTTATAAAGTTGTGAACTACGTTAACTAACGTAATGGATCGTTAGCGTCTCATGGAAGATGTTAGAATCACGTGCAACGTTTATGGTGTATCGTCGCTATGCTGCACTGCGACTCCTTTGTCTCAAGTTCCCTTGGCAAAATAATTCGCGAGATTAGCCGATCTATAGTAAATTAGTGTTCGACGGTAAAGACGTTATTTCAACAGTTGTAGATTAGAGTAATCGTAACATTGTGAAATACACTATAATCTAGTATTTGTTATAATAGAAAATTAACTATTGAAACATGGAAAAAGACTACTATGTAAATGTTTTATTGTTAATATGTATATATAAAGACTAGAATATAAATAAAAAGATGAACGATGAGATACTCAGTTTTTTAATTTCCCGAAGAAGTGATTGTTTTATTGCCAATTCAATGCTCAAACGTATTTCGACAGAAATATTGCATGCGCGTCAGTGGGATTCAGAATCTTGTTTAATCGAGAACTAATTTCGTACAGGAAATCGAGAATATTTTTCCGCCCAGTGTGAAAAATTGGGTTAGCCAGTTTTCATCAGAGCTTGATTTTCTATAGTCGTCCGCCCTTTCGTCCGTGGAAACGCGATAAGGTAAAAAAAATTCTGTGAACACGTTTGAAAATCTAGTAAAACGGCGAACACGTACACACTCGTGTTCTCAATTGGAGGCAGGAAGCTCGATCGAGGCAATAGCAGAAAACGTTTGTTCGCCGGACACGATATCCAAAATCGCAATCTCCCAAGGTCCTCCGCGAGAGACCTACAAGTGCCAATATCGAGTTTCATAGACTTGTAAGAGCGTCCATATGACCCGGATGTACCGTTTCTCGAGCTCGCTTAAATTTGCTTCGATGTTTCTGTAGCTCCGTTATTAAAATGTGCCTCTGGCCGTCCCTTGGCTCTCCGGCTTTCAGCGCGACCGACGTTTCCCAGAAAATTTTCCTCGCATCCACCGTCGCATCTCCTCGCTTCGTAGTAGTGAGGGGAGAGAGAGAGAGAATCTGTTTTAATGAAAAAAGTAATATCGAATTTTCCGATGATGACTAAAAATGACGTTCTTCATTTTTACTCGTAAATATTTTCGAAACTGTGCCTGTCATATTCAATCTGGAAATTTCTCTGTATTATTTACGCATCAGTGACGTGAAAAGTCCTAGTACAGGGAACGCTTCTATTCTTTCCCAAAATCATCCATCATAGTCGCAAATCCTCTCTTTTAAACTTCACCGAGAAAGCTACAGAATTTACTTTCGATCTCCCATTCAGAAGGAAACCTCGTGTCGCGTTGCTTCATGAAGCTCAGCCACTGCTTTCATCTTGTCAATTGTCTGCTTTTCAGAATTATTTCGATAGTTCAGAATAAAATCTAAAAATACTGATTTTATAAATATTTAAAGCATTATTTTAAAGTTTAAAGGCCCAGGGACACGCTTTTCCGTTGTCCGATTAAACTTAGATTTTGCACATATTATTATTTTACTAATTAGATCCATTCTGAGGAGTGCCGCGAAGAAAATTTTCATTAAAAGTAAATAAGAGCTACCCTAATGTACACACTAATAAACCCATAAATTCAACCCTTGAAATTCCGGAAGAGAGAGAAAGGGGGGATCGATATTCTATCGTGTGAGGACCGTGTAACGTATACTTCCTTGAGGCGCGGTAACGGCAAACTTGAATCGTGTTCACCGATCGTCCATGAGATAAGCTTAAATGCGCGAGGCGAAGTGGCTGGCTGGCATTGAGGTAAAAATGTTTCGAAAGAATCTTCATTCGAATTTCGTATTATTCAGTTACATAAGAAGATATTTTATCACACTTATGAATATATTATGAAAATTCAGTTATTGAAAAAGTATACATTTTTATACATGGTAGGATATAATGTGTATGTGTATGGAAATATCTTTTCCAACGTACCTACGGAAGCTAAATAAGGTTTTGTTTGCTACGTATATTACAACATAGACTTCAGTGGAATATTTTGTACTGTTTTACGTAGATATTTACATTTCTCATGAATGGGTAAACATCCGCAATAATTGTACTGCATGATGAAAATGGAAAGGAAAAAATACTTTATAGTAGAGTTTGAGAGACAAACGTAACAAAAATTTATTTACTTGAATTATGTATTTTCTGCGCGTTAACAATAGCGCAAAGTAAATATGCTCCTCTGTTATGCAAAATTATCCAAAGCCTGATGACTTTGTCCTGTTGTATTATAATTCTCGTAACGTACAATTCTAACTGAAGAATATTTGAAAATCAATTTAGTACTATTTTGTATTTCATTTAAATTTATGTATAATTGTAGTGTAATTTAGTATAAAAGCAATGTCATTTGCGTGAAGTCAGAAGCAAAAATTTTATTCAAATCCGAGTTATCTATAATAATCTATGTATACAAGTTAAATCTATTTGCGATGAAATATTTTAACGCATATTATTCCGAGTCTGCAACTCGTCGGAAGAGCACTGATTCATATAGAAATGATAATCGATAAGTCCGTGTGGATCATAAATCAAGCCGGAACGGAGAATCCATCGATCTTAATGTTGGTTTTTGTATGACCGGCGTGCCTCCTAATTTTCTACCCCGTTTCTAGTTCCGGTACGGCTGGTTAGTGTTCGGAATGACTAGTAGCTGACGTCACGTTTATTGATTATTTCCTCGTCGTCTAATAGTTTATTTGTTCAGATTAAGAACCGTTCTTTTTTTTCGTGGCCGATTAGTTTGTATCATAATTTCTCGTGACAAATTTATGAACGCCTCGTATCCACTGGTATGGTTCATAACTCCTCGAGTTTATGAAAGTCTTGGTTGTATTAAGCGTCAGTTAAATTCTCTTGGCGGTCGTGCAGGCGCGTGTAATGAGCATGGTATCTTGAATTTAGTTTGCTATAACGCTTGTAAATGGTGTAATATAACGCAATGTAGTGTGGATTGCCAGAATTAAACAGCGATAGGCGTTAATTCCCGTATTTACACAAGGTAATAGACAAAATTCAATGTAGGTAATAGTAGCAGTAGCTTTCTGTGATTATCTCGTAAACTAACTCCGTGCGGAGGTAAATAGCATGTATACAGATTCTATAGGAAACAGTTAATCAAAATAATGCAATCTGTTCCGAATAATTTCCTCACACCTTTTCCCCGTGACAATTATAAAGATACGAGACCAATTGAGTCTTGAGAATAAAGAATGGATGACATTTAATAATTTCAATATCAGAAGTTGAATAATTATTACATAGTATAGGCGCAGCTTAAAAATTAATAATATAAGTAAACTTAAAATAAAGAGATATTGATTATCTTTACTAAAACAAAATTCACTGAATTTTAAAGTAAGCTATTATAGCAATTGATCACTATTAGCCTGCCTCGGGAGAGTTCCAATCTGACTACAAATCAAAGCAACGAATGGAAAAATCGCCGGAAAGGAAACGTGGTGACAACTTAACGGGTAGAAAAAATGCAACACTTTTCTATCAAGTCAGACAAGGGAGAGGGGACGGGACACAGGGTTTGGTTCCGCGATGTTACACGCTCGGATCCTCTCTCCCGAATGAAGATGCATCGTTCTCAACGGACCAATGCGTCGAGTGTCGGCACGCGATATCGAATATTCGAAATCGATATAGGTTACAGCCTAGCCTGCAAGCCCGTCGCCGATGTTGTATCGCTACCGTTGCCGTGAGCACACGGATATCACCCGCGAGCCCACACCCAACCGAACCCGGACCCTGTACACTGTACCTAATGCGGTTTAATATAGACCAATTGTATACGCTTGGTTTCGGCGAGAAGCACCGTGAGATTGTATCTCCGGGCGACATGCAACGGCAAGCCAAGGGAAAACATCTGACAGTGCGAGGGTGTGAGGTATTATCATCATAAGGTGAAACCGGAGATAACCATCGTTCAATCTCTTCACCAAAAATAGAAAACCTTATTGATTACAATACATAATGTGTTTACAAGTTGAAATAATTTCCAAGAGTTCTCCATATTATAGACGTATGTTGCAATTAATAAATAGTTTTTCTATCCAAACATACTTTTAATTATAAAACTCGCAATAAATTTGTAATCATGTGAATGAAAACTGCTTAAGTAAATTAAGCAGTTCGAGATTTAAAGGATTGCAACGATTATGCAATTCGGTAACGGTAATCGGAGTCCCTTAGGAACTTTAAGCTAGCGTTGCAACTTTATCCTCGGAGACCACAACTTTCCTCCAGTTTTTGGAACCGTGGGACCTAACGCTCGACAATCGGATATCCGGCCGTGATCTTTTGCCGTGGATCTCCTCTAATCCCACGGGACCACTGTTAACGTTACCAAATCTACGGGAACCAACTCCGGAACTGAAGCCTCGTGCAGATCTCGAAGATCTTGTGACTATCCAATTTGATATCGGTCGCAGCGAGCTCCGTGAAACTGAAGTTGACAGTGCAATGGCATATACTACTTCCCGATATTGCACAGCTAGTAGTTTCTTGTCTCGCAAATGTCTGACGACCTGACATCTCCAAAAGGGAATTGCCGCGCTGCGCCGGCGAAATTGATTAACCCGAGAAAGCCGCGCGCGAGCAGAAACGAGCCGGAGCCTCTCTGTCCGCCTGCGCCAGCTTCGATAACTTATTCAAGATTCGTTCTCGGTCGACAAGAATCGATAGTAAATTCAATTTCGCGCATTTCCGCTCGAGAACTAGATCGCCGTGATGCACGAGGGACTCTGGGAAAATGCATCTTCTAATTGTTGTTTGGACCTCTATAGAGAAAAAAAAATGAACCGACTGCACCAGCGATTTTTCACTCTTTCCTTTCTATCATTTTATTGCTCTTTCTTTTCTTTTATATTTCTGTAACATATGTGCATATATTTAATAAATTATTTAAACGTTGATACCTACAATACTTGAATTATTCATTTTCCTATATTATTATTATAAGAAGAATAGTTTGCCTAATTTATTGAAATTGTTGAAAAACATTTTGTTTTAGAAACTTTAATTGTGATAATACTATTAATGATTTGTATAATACATGTCATTATCATTATAATATGGTATATATTACTTTCATTACTTGTTATCTAAAAACGAAACAGTATTATAATGAAAGACCTTTTTTGCTGTTACAGGATCAAGTGCACACAAAAACGATGCGACAGGAAATGGAAGACCAGCTCCTCTTTTGGCGGAACCCAGATACGGCGCCGCACCTCAGCCATACGGTAAGTGTATACCCAAGACCATTGCATTATATGTATTCCAATCCTTTATGCTCTCCGTTTTTCTCGTTAGTAGTTAAGTTAAGCGAATTAATTGAGAAAACGGGCAGGCTATTGAACGATGTCGCATTGAAGTTGAATTCTCGATATTACCTTTTGCCTCGAGGATTTACAAATGTACGCGCGAATACCTGAATTCGTGTAATTGCATAGTCTTCGGTGACGAAGTTTTCCAACTGTAATTCTCGTTTTACTAGGGGAGCTCGGTGCCGAGCCTGGACTGAATAGTTCGTTATCGGAATTATTAGCCTAGAAAAATGTGCCCTAATGACTTCTTATCGGAGTCCTGGGTTAGAAGTTTCGTCATTTATATGGAGCTTCGTTGCGCTCTTTTAAATTATGCAAAAGGGGAATAAAAAATCATCTGATCTCGATTCATGTGATTCTACATTCAGCTTCCTACCTCTGTTGCATGGCAACTTTAAGAAGGATATGAATAATCATGATTACAAAATCAAAATACAGTTTTTATTGCATCGTAATCAGTACCATATACATATTTTCGTCATGTTTTACCATCTAACCAAGGGTATTATGATAAATTTTCTAATTGCACTCGTATACGATTCATGATACAAATTTTACTAGGCAGGCTAAATGAGTGAAGCGATGCAACACAGCGTGGCGTAAAAAAGCCGATTCCCCCATTCATTTGATCGTCGACGCATTAAACGAGCATTCGACATGAACAATTAATATTTCCTCTCTTGTGCCGGGTGGTTAAGGATCCAGCAGTCGCTCGATTTCCATAATTAGCGTACGCCATCCAGCGCAAACCTTACACTCGGATCACACACACACACACATACACAGACACACGCGCGCGCACGGTATGCATGACTCAAAGTGAAATTATCCAAAATACACTAGACATCATTTTATTACTATACCTACTCTTCTACTCCGGTACTTTTGTTCACAGGATCCACGCCACAGGTAACTTTCCCCCCGGGTACTGGTCACGATCGTTACGAGGAGAATTTCAATGGACCAGCAACATATGCGGAACCGTATGTTGAACGTTATGGTATTAAGAGTGAATTTAGCGGTCGAGAGCCTTTACATCCCACGCCACCGCGACCCGGTTACGTACCCACCTTGGGACAAACACCGCCATCCAGCACTCAAGGCTCCGTGATGATGGTATACGGACTACAGCCGGATAAAGTAAATACCGACAAGCTGTTCAATTTGTTCTGCCTGTACGGGAATGTAACGAAGGTACGACTATTTCATTTTATCCACTTCATTTCAAAAGACTTAGTTGACGTATTGCGTTTCGAGGATTTTCTAATTCGCATCTTTATCATGATATTCTTCTTTGTTTACTAAAAAGTATTCCGTTTTGGACTAATGCTTTCAATATCTAAACAATATCATAAACTCTTTTGAACAATATCGACTTAAATTTTTAAACTTAATAAAGACAGAACATCGAGCTTTTTAATCCAAGCAAAGTGGATGACTATCGCTTATTCGTGATTCCATAACAGGTGAAGTTCTTGAAGACGAAAGAGGGTTGCGCTATGATCCAGATGGGTGACAGCATAGCCGTGGAACGGTGTTTACAGAATCTGAACAACGTGACGATCGGTACAGACGGGAGGTTGCAGCTCGGCTTCTCGAAGCAGGCTTTCCTATCGGACGTCACCAACCCGTACATTCTGCCCGACAAGACGGCGAGCTTCAAGGATTTTACCGGAAGCAAGAATAACAGGTAAAGTTAAACAACCACGTCTGCTAGAATATTCTAGTTTACCTTATTCCGCGAACTTTTTCCTTCTCTCCCATCTATACTCTTATCTGCTAGGCTATTCTCGGATTGTCCTTTTTGACTGATGTTGCACCTCGCACTCGTCGACCTCGTTTCCCTTTTCTAACTTTGATTAGCTATTCTAGTTTCTTTTTTCCTTTGTCGGGTGAACGCGTTTCTCGTACAACCAGACGTTCTTTAACCCTTCTTCGGATTTAAGGCATGGCTGGGAGTGCCAAGGAATATTAAATTGCATATATATTTATGTTTGTTTAAAAACTGGTAGATGAAATTTCCAAAAGTCAAATTGTGCATTTAAAAAGCTAAAATGAATGATCAACTTCCTGAACTCATTACGAAAAATATAAAATTAATGGAGAAAAAAGAAAAAATTAATTTTTTTGTAACGTTGCCACGCGTTTTTATGTGTTCAAGTTGGTTCGTAAAAATTTATATGTTCGTAATACTTTTAATTTGGAAATTCGCAGTATTTGGAGGAAAAATTTTTCGATCTTTGTTCTCATTAGATAATACGTAGAGTAACCATAATCAAGAGAGACAGTAATTACACGTATTATTTCGTAATATATACGTAAATCTTCAGCATTGGACAGCAAATTAATTTGCACTTAGCAATTCGGTAACATGCAGCATTAGAGTTGTATGAGACTCGCCGCGATTTGCATAATCCGAAGAATCTGTGAACTTATTCATCAATCCGACACAGTGCTCATTGCGGCTATAATCAATCCGCAACCACTATTCGTGTCTCTGCATTGAATGAGCGTTAACGAGAAATTCTATAGTGGTGTCCATGAAACTGAAGGGACGTTTTACACGTTGACGAACGCGTGCTTCCTGCGAAACAGTCAAACTAGTGCAATTAACGACAATCCCACTTCCGAAGATTCCCCTTTCTCGTTGCCGCCTTTAGCCGGTAAGAACTTAATTGCAACAGGCGAGTTTTGGGTCTCCTTTTGTTCGAAACCGAACGTGCTTTGCGATAATTACGCTGATAACATTAATTACAAATTTCCCGGAAGTTTAATACGTCGAAGCCTGTTACTCGAGTTGATTCCAATGGGAATCGTATGTCTGTTCGATTCATCTGTTTCCGATGATACATAGCACTATGTGGTATTGTTATTCGCCTGACCGATTTATTGTAATAGCAGCTGAATGTAATCTTTTACATTCGAGACATATTCACATATTGCAAACATGCTTCAAATGAAACCTTGGAACGCACATTACGATATCAATTTTAACTATTAAATTCCAAATAATGCTGTTTTCATTCGTTTCATATTAATATAATTTGTGCCTCAAGTTTTAATGAACCCCTTATTTGTTAATTCCAGGTTCCTAAATCCAGCAATGGCCAATAAGAATAGAATACAACCACCCTCGAAAATAGTCCACTTTTTCAATACGCCTCCGGATTTAACTGAGGAGACCGTGCACCGCGTGTTCGTGGAACGTGGTATCGAGGCGCCAACGACAGTGAAACTGTTCCCCCTTAAATCGGAACGATCGTCGTCCGGCCTCATCGAATTCAGCAGCGTTGGGATTGCGGTAGCTGCCATCATGGAATGTAATCACACGGCGCTAGAGAACAGCAGTACGTATTTCTGCTAACTTGTATTTTATTCCAAGATTAACTTAAACCCAATTAAACTATTAAGTTTCTATCTATTTTCAATTATACTTATACATATGATAATTTCTTAGAACATAATGGGTTGGCGAAAAATCATTTTACAAATTAAGGGATGAATGAAATATATTTTGTTAAATTGACTACAGATCTTTTTATTAAATTAAGTATATGCTGTTTTATTTGATGAAAAAACGATATTAGTGTAGAATTTCCGGGATTTCTTGGAAAAAGACTAATATAGTTGATCTTCCTAAAATCTCTCTTGAAGTCAAGTTTATAGCATTACCGATTTTTAATGATATGGTTTTATTTGCTAAAGTAATAAAAGGAATTTAAATCATTATTTATTTGTTTATGTTTTCCAGACGGCAAATTCCCGTACATCATGAAGCTGTGTTTCTCGTCGTCCCGTACCATACCAACGAGTTTCCCACCGAGCAGCGGCAGCACGTCGAGCAATTCCGCTGGTAATGGCCACGTCAAAATGCAGCAGGACTCGGAATAGAACGGCGAGGTCCAGGGCCAGCAGCGTCAGCGTCAGCGCCAGCGTCCCTCTCTCGCCCTGCACTCGTTGTGTGCCCCGACGGGCACGGCCCTGCACCCAGCCGCAGCGATCACACTATCCCCGGTCTTACCGCCACCCGTACCGCCTCCATTGCCGCCTGCCTGCGTCCTGATCGCCACCCCGACATTGTATCCGACCGTGCCACCGCCGCCACCTCCTCCGCTGCCTACGTTCTGGCCGTACTGATGGGAGAGAGAAAATGAGTGAGAGAGGAGTGCAGCGGGCCTACTCGCCGGACGAGACACCAATTGAATGAAGAAAAAATGCCATCACGTCCCCAGTTTTCTTCTACGTCTGTCACTTCTTCTACTCCTCCTCCTCGTCGCGTGGCGATCACCTGGCTCAAGTATCAGACGCTGGTCGCTGGAAGAATAATCAGTTCCGTTCGAGGGTCAGCGCGTGGCGGAGCTCACGGCTTCGAGAATCGGGATAAACAAAATGTCGTAAAATTCTCGTCGGAGAAGATACGATTTGCGACGTTCGTCGACAGGAATTGGAACATGATACGGGTGGACTGTGCACCCGAAGGTCATCGAGGATCGTCCGCGTATAACCGAAAGTGAAAATGTGAAACGAAAAAGCGAAACACACACCATTGAGAGGCAGCGATATTCTTGTTTTTTTTTGTACTGGTTATTTACCGATCATCGTACACACTCTACTTCTTTCTTTCTTCTTCTTCCTTCGTTTGATTTCGTTTCATCTTGATTGGTTCCCTTCGTTAGATTCTCTTTCATTGTTTATCGTGTTTGAGTTTCAACTTTTGGTTTCTTCTTTCCCTTCTTGCGTTGCATTGGCGAGGTCCGGGTATACGTGCTTAGTCCGTAGCGCGGAGATCCTGAAACGGATCGAAACACCGCACGCTACAAGTGTTATCAGTATTATGTATCAAAGCGGATCCTCTCCGTCATCGGCGGAACATTTTTTTGAGGAACGGAACACAAGTGGCGAGAGAGAGTACTTCGGTGTTAAACAAAAATATAAGAAACATTCGAGAGAGGATTCGATTCGTCGTGTTCGCGGAAGTTTCTTTCCTTCCGTTAGACGCGAGGATCGATCATAAATTGTCTTGTACATATTGAGGGAGATAAAGCTCGGGAGAAGTCTTAGCGTCTAATGGGGACGATCTGCCGCGGTCGACGAATATTACATATCATAGGTCGAGGAAGAGAATAAATTTCGCAAACAACTCGTCGATTTTAAAATGCTGCTTCGAGGACTAAAGAAGAAAACGGAATAAGCGACGGTTCCTCACGAAGCAGACGGACCAGAAACGCAACTAGTTCGTTTCCACGTTGACCCAGCGTTTCACTTATTGTGCGACGACGAGCCGACACGTATGTATTTTTGTCCATTATTCGTTTCGATGATGCGCGCGTGTACCGTTTCCAAAGGACTCGTCAGATCATTGAAAGACTCGCACGCGTAACGAACCTTCCACGTGCATGCGTTAAGAAATAATTGATAAACAGGAGAAGCAAACGCAAGAAAATTTACGTCTCCTCGACGATAGAGGATATCTCGAAGCCGAATGTACCGCGTTCCTCGTTGACCATTTCTCATGGGATCCAAACAAAAATAAATCGGAGGTTCCTCATTGACCATTAGAAGCTACAACACTGGATACAATTTTCTAAGAGTGATCAGAGGATCTAGATCAATTGTGCACGCAATATTCGCCTACATAAACTATGCAAGTTGCACTATTAAAAAAAAGAAGTACATAAATACAATAATACATCCGACTCGCGAGAACCTTTTGCTGTACAGTAAAGAGAGAACAAATAAATAAAAAGTCCCGTACTGTTCTCCAATTCTGATAGCTCTGTCTGTCGTTGTTTTGTATACTCTATACATGTATATACTATATATTATATATTGATAATCATACATGCGCTTCGAACGAATTATATCTATTTATTATGTTTTCACGTTGTTCAGATTTTATTTACAACGCTTGGAATTGTGCTCCGGAGAGAAAGAGAGGGAGAGAGAGATTCTTTAAGAATAAAAATGTCTTGCACAGACGTACCGTTGCGTGTTGAAAATTCAGTGATACAATGATATCGATGCTCGCGGTTTTTCTCGAATAATCGGTCGCTTCTTTTTTTCGCGTCGCGTGACGAAGCTTCTCGCGAGTCTCGATTTCGAAAGAGAGAAAAACGATTAACGGAAGACGAAGACAGAGAGAAAAAGAATGATAAGGAACTATAAGAAAAGAAAATACAAAGGAAGAGAAAAAGTTAATGATAAAAATCGTCTCGACCATTCGTACTTATCAGAAGAATCGGAAAATTGTCTATTATCCACTCCTTCGATATTCGATTCTTCAGTATAAAGGAAGATAAGGATTGTATGAAGAAATAACCATCAGTTTTCCTGCTCGAGCTGTAGTGTTCAGGTCGCGACGACGTATCGGTGGTTCGCTGAATAACGAAAGGCAAACGGAGGAAGAATGGGGAAAAGCAAAGAAAAGAACGGAACCAGCATGAACAGATGCAGGAAAAAGAGAGAAGGAAAGGCAAGCAGACTAGCAGCGAGCGAAGGTTGTATGCATTCTCTTCAATGCGCTCGTACACTATTGATCAGATCGCGGACTGTGAATTGAATTTTATATGAAGACAATGAAGTCGACGACACACAATATATTAGTGGTCCCACGGCAATATTTTGTCGGGCCGGGGGACATTTTTATAAGAAAAGGTTTTAGATCTCCGATTTAACAATTAAGAACACGCAAAATGTGAATACAACAACAGCAACAGCAACTACAACAAAAATTGCGAAAAAAGCGTAAAGTTAAAGTAAA